GTCAAGGATTGAAAGACATGGAATATTTTTGAGTAGCTTTTTGATTTTTTGGACCGCATGCGTACACTCATGATTCCATGGGTCAGGATTATTTTGTAATCTTTTCAATAATGGGGCGCAGATTTGACGTATATCTTTGACAAAATCAGCAACATAATTGACACAACCTAAAAAGCGTTGCAAACTTGTTTTTTCAATAATTTCATCTGAGAATTTATCAGTGAAATCAAGACTTCTTTGAATTGGTGTAATTGTGAAATTTTGAATAAAATGACCAAGAAAACGAATTTTTGTTTAAAATAAAACGATCTTTTTAGCAAAAACTGCTAAACCATTTTTCTTGATAACATGAATGAATGTATGAATATGTTTAAAATGTTGTTCAATATTTTTTGAAAAAATAAGAACATCATCAACATAAACAATAATGAAATTTGAATAAGGATTAAATATATCATTCATAATTTTTTGAAATTCTGAAGGAGCATTTTTGAGACCGAATGACATAACATTCCATTCGTATTGTCCAAAGGGAACATTGAAGGCAGTCTTGTATCTATCTTCTTCCTTAATTTGAATTTGCCAGAATCCTGACTTCATATCAAATTTTGAGAAGATGATAGCTTTACAAAGACGATTCAAAAGATCTTTCTTTTAAGGAAGGGGATAACGGATCCATTGAAGAGCAGTATTAAGTGGTTTGTAATTGATAACGAGACGAGGGACTCCTCATTTGATTTCTGCAGAATTATTGACATAGAAAGCTAAACAGCTCCAAGGAGATTTACTTGGTCGGATTAAACCTTTTTCGAGTAAATCATTGATTTCTTTGATATAAAAATTGTTGACTTGAACTCTTGGCTTGGACAAGTAATCCCATGGTCTTTTGATCTTCTTCGCTTGCGATCTCATCAATTAATGGATTGGCTAGCCTTCTTCCCATGGTTCTCATCATTTCTCTGCACTTCGAAAGGATTCATCCTCGAATCTCTACCTGTATCAAATATAAAAAATTAAAAAATATTGAAAGTAGCAGATATATTATTCTCACTAGGAAAATCAAATTTATAGGCAATGCCATTGATCTTTTCAAGTACTTGAGATGTATAGTGTTCATTCTTCTTCTCAATTTGAAGTCGAACTTTCAAATGGATTGATCTTACAAATCAGCATTATTCGTTCTATCTAGAACCTTTTTATCAACAGATGAACGAAATAAATTCAACGGACTTAGTATATTATGACAAGGAATGAAGTGTGACATCTTAAATCTATCTACTACCATAAATATGAAATCTCTACCCAATTTAGTTTTAGGCAATTTCAACACGAAGTCCATAGATATATTAACCTAGTGTTCATTAGAAACAGGTATATACAAACATTGTGATAAAACTTTAGACTTAGCCTATTCTGTCTGTACAAACATTGTGATAAAACTTTAGACTTAGCCTATTCTATCTGTACAGGTAGAGAATTGTGGTCACACTATTTATAGTGATGCTTCCAAAAATGGTTGAGGTTGCGTCCTTATGCAACAAGGAAGGGTGATCACATGTGCCTCTCATCAATCAAAGCCATATGAGAAAAATTATCAAACTCACAACCTAGAGTTAGCAACAATTGTTTTTGCTCTCAAAATATGGAGACACTATCTCTATGGTGAACCCTGTGAAATATTCACAGATTATAAGAGCCTTAAGTATTTTTTTTACACAAAAGGAACTCAACATGAGGCAAAGAAGATGACTAGAATTGGTGAAAGATTACGATTGTACAATTCAATATCATCCGGGGAAAGCCAATGTTGTGGCTGATGCCTTAAGCCGAAAAGGAAATTTCAAAGAATCAAGATCGAAAGAATTGGAAAAGGAAATACAAAATTTCAACCTTGAAATTTTGGACTCAAAGGGTGCCAAACTAATGGCAATAATTCTTTAGCCAAGCTTGAGAGATCAGATTAAAGCTAAATAATAAGAAGATGCCATAGTCAAGATAATTCTCCACAATGGCCTTTAATTCACCCAATGTTGATAGGCCTATCATGATTTCTCCTCCTGCTTTTCACTAGTTGATCCCACCAAATGATTGCATAATCGTAAATTCTACAACTGCTAATTTTACCCTTTTCTTTTCAAAGCAGCCACGGCAATCAAAAATTGACTCAAACTTCTTTTCCACCCCAAATACACCTCTAGATCATTTCTACCTTGGAATGAAGTAATTTTTATCGTAATGCTACCCAAATTTCGATCAACCCTATCTCTACCAAAGTCTCTAGGATCTCTCTTGGGCCCCCTTTCATGCCTATTTCCGCTATTTCTCATCCCACCCACTTTGGTTGTTGATAATTGATCATCCTCATTCTTGCTAGTTGCTACCCAACTCATTCTCATCATCAAATTCAACTTTAGGACCATGCCAACCTTGCCTCCTAAAATTAGGAGCTCCTCTAGGATATCCCCCTTTGTATGTTTGTATTATCTTGTCGATCCATTCTATCTCTAGTTTCTCCAACTACTACATTCATCCCCTTGAGCTGCAGTTGCATGGTTTTAAACATAATGTCATGATTGTTTCCTTCTCGAGATATTGATTCTTCTTTATAGACATCTTAATAACTAGAATTTATATGCCTCATGTGTTCGCATTTGTGCTTCACTTCATTTGGTTTTTTCACCCTAATTATCTTATTACTCTTCCCTAAACCCTTAATGCTTTCTTGTAAAGTGCGTCAAGAAACTAATACGATCTCAATCAGAAGAATTCACCCATTGTGAAGGTCAAATAAAGGACTGAAGAAGGAAATTGACTTGAGGAACACTCAAGAAAAGATGGAATGGAAAATTGAATGGGAATGCCAAGAAGAAATTCAAGAAATTATGTCTAGAATTTGATTCTCGCCTTTTACAACAATATCGACTCCAAGGGATAGTTTGGAGGTTGAATCAAATTCTTGAATGAATATAATTTTCAAGAAAATGGTTCTCGAAATCAAATTGGACACCTTTTGTCTCGAATATTTGATTTTCTTGTTGTTGAAGCATTTTTTCCTAAATGCTGATTTTTCTTTAAATTTTCAAATTTTTTTCACACTAAATATTCGGAAATTAAACCAAAAGGCCAAAATGGAAAAAGAAATTACTTAAGTAAAATCTAATGCACAAACACTTGAATATTTTTGGTGTTTTTATTGGATTGAAAGACTCAAGAACATGATGAATAACAATGTGGAAGGTAAAAGATATAACTTTGATTTTAGAGCCAAAGTTTTGATACCAACTGATGTGAACCCACGTAGCAATAGTAGCTTTGAAACTCAAACAAGATTGAATACAACCCCAAGAAAGCTAAAATTCCAATTTGAAGCTTGACCTATTAATTTATTGACCAAAGTTATAAAGAAACTCGAACCCTTAAGTACAAAAATTATGAATCTTGCTATGAAATTGTTGAATGCCAAAACGATGAAATCCTTGCTAAGTTTGAAATTGAGTTCAATGAAGAACAAGAAGAGAGCAACTTTGCGTCGATTTAATCTCTCAATAATGAATTAATTTACAATGAAAGAATGGGGCCATACATATCAGCAATTCATAATAACCCTAATTAAAACGTAAAACATCAAGAAAATATCAAACAAATAGAGTCTTAAATGAAAAAGGAAAAATTAAACCAACAGGACGCGTCGTCAATTAATTTGGTTATGGGTTAAAATTTCGCCTAAGCGCGCGCATTACTTTCCAACTACACTTCAAGCTTCGTTTATTCAAACTTAGCTTGAACTAATTTCACTAAGGTTGGTTCTTCTTTCATCCCATCTTGAAACTTTGTGTATTGCTTGTTGCACTCGAACTCTTGGCCCATGTATCTTGGACAAGTAATCCCATGGCTTCCTTGATCTTCTTTACTCGCGTTCTCGTCATTGTCCTTCTTTCCACTATCAATGGATGGGGCCAGCCTTTGTCCCACGGTTCTCATCATCAATCCATGAGAAAGTTTGAAACTCAAAACTTGAGCTCGATTCAAGTAAAAATGATTTGAACTTTTTTTATCTGAACCGAGTTGAGCTTTTGCTTAACCCGAACTTTTGACTCGAGCCTTAGAGCGTCGAGTTGAGCCAACTTTTTTTTTTTCCTTTCGAAATAGCTGCCTTAAAAGGCATCTATTGCTGCCTACTATTGCAGGCAGCTACTGCTGCCTGTTAAGGCAATTGTATGTGTTGACTCAACAAGGCTACAACATCAACCTCCTTAAGGGGAAACTGCCTTGTTAAGGCAGCTATATAGGATACTCTATCAACTACCTGTTCATTTTTTACACAGTAATTTGTTTTTTATATAAAATTTTGCAATTTTTTTTAATTTTCTTTTTAGGCTCGCTTGTTACGGGGTCGAGCCAATGTCCCAAAATGGGGGCTCGACCCAAGCCTGGAACCAAGTCATGAGCTGGGTCCTGTCGACTTGAGCTTTTCCCCAGCCAAGCCACGAGCCATCCGAACAGACGAGCTAAATTGACACCCCATTACGCATCTAAGATAGCTCATCATACCAATTTATAATTTCTAAGGGTCCGTTTGATAGCATTAAATTTCATGAAAAAGTCACATTCGAGAAATTCATTTTCTACTTTGGTTATTTGATATGAAAGTGGAAATGGAGTTTAAATTCTGTGGTACAAACATCTAGCCCTTGTTTGAGCTCCATTATTACCATCAAAATACATTCTTTACAGTGATTAGATCTTATTTCAACACACATTTTTCTTTAAAATAATATTACAAATAAATTTAAAATTTTTCTTTATTTTTTAATCACATTTTTCATCAATACAGTATTCAAAAATGTATTTTTTGACAAGAATATAGCTCAAACAAGGACTTAAAACATATTTTTAGCCAAGTGAGTGAAAATCGAATTCCTATAATTTTGATAATTTTTTCTTTTCCAATTTATATGGAATTGATTGGCCTTTTGACCTTAACTATGTTTTCAGATTTTTCAGTTTTTCTTGGTACTCCACCGATCCAACGTTTCCCTCCATTTCTCCCATCAAACAAACCTTTCCACTCTCCATGGCCACTTTCACCCTCCCCCACCGGCACCCCATTTCGCCATTCCCCAACATCACTACCTTTCCCCCAATCAGGCTTAATAGACCCAATATCCGCGTTCCTCACACAAATGCCATAGGTGGCGCGCAACAAGATAGACATACAGACACACCCCCACTGCACAAAACTGCCCCCCTCCCCCACCACCACAAATACCCCCATCTCATTTCCGCCGCCGTGTCCCTCCACCAACTCAAACAAATCCATGCCCACCTCCTTAAACTTCACCTCCTCCACAACCACCTTTTCCAACTCCTCCTTTCTTCCATTTCCTTCTCTTCTTCCACTTCATACGCCTTCAATATCTTATCCTCCCTGAATTATATCCCTCCTACGCAACTCTCCAACAAGCTTCTTAAGCACGTCACGCGCTCAATCAATCCGCACAGTACACTTATATTTTTTCAGAAAATGCGAGAAAAGGGCTTCCAAATTGACAGGTTTACCTTCCCTACATTGCTGAAGACAGCATCAAAAGGTGGGGTGCATTATGAAGGAAAAATGATGCATGGGTTGGCCTCGAAACTTGGGTTTGATTCGGACCCATTTGTGGAGACTGCTTTGGTAGGATTTTATGTATCCTGTGGACAAATTTCTGAGGCCCGTTTGGTGTTTGATAAAATGTCTTATAAAGATGTTGTGACTTGGAATATTATAATTGATGGGTAAGGATTTCTTAATCATTATCGGTACTTACTAGACATAACAGAAAGTTTGATCATGATGCTATTAAGTTTTGAGTGAACTTGCTTTCGGCTTAAATCATAATTAGTGTTTTTTTAGGAATGTTCTATATTTGATTTTTAAAACCTCATGATCTCATTAATGTCTTGTTGCTAATGAGTGAATATTAAATTTTATGTGCTTTATTGTAGTTTAGTTTGGAAGATGAATGCATTGTCATTATAGTTAAAGGTGTGAACTTTTGTACCTCAGGTTTTGGGTTTTAGAGTTTTTAAAATGCAACTCTTGCATGCTTCGGATTTTTCCACAATATAGTGTTTTTCAGGATATGTTTATCATAATTAGAGCATAAATGGAATCATTTACAGTCATACTATAATTTCATTTAGAGCATAAGTTTTTATTCTGATATTATGTTATTAAAAAGTGATGTATTAGTTGACCTACTGTTGGTTTTAGTTTTGATTGTTATATTGGATGTTTCCTGATAGGTGATTTTGTTTACATATGTATCAGTTATTGTCAAATTGGGCTTTTTGATGATGTCTTCACACTGGTGGAAGAGATGAAAAGCTCCAATGTGGAACCAGATGAGAGAGTTTTTACAGCTATTCTTTCGGCATGTGCTCGACTTAGAAATTTGGATGCAGGAAAATTGGTCCACGGGTTCATATCTGAGAATGACATTGTGAACAACTCTTATTTGCAGAGTGCTCTTATTAGTCTGTATTCACGTTGTGGTGCCATGGATGTCGCTCAGAGTCTGTATGAAACATTTACACAGAAGAATCTGGTGGTCTCAACTGCCATGGTCTCTGGATATTCGAAAATTGGCAATATAAAAGCTGCTCGCTCTATATTCGATCAAATGGTCAATAAGGACTTGGTCTCCTGGAGTGCAATGATCTCTGGTTATGCAGAGAGTGATAAGCCTCAAGATGCTCTTAATTTATTTCTTGAAATGAAGGAATCTGGAATTAAACCCGACCAAGTAACGATTTTGAGTGTCATATCAGCCTGCTCTCATCTTGGTGCTTTGGATCAAGCAAAACAGCTCCATATGTTTGTTGATGAGAATGGGTTTGGAAAAGCTTTGCCTGTGAATAATGCCCTTATTGATATGTATGCCAAGTGTGGAAGTCTTGAAGGAGCAAAAGATGTTTTTTTGGGGATGCATCGGAAAAATGTGATATCATGGACAAGCATGATCAATGCTTTTGCCATCCATGGAGATGTTGACAACGCACTGAACCTCTTTCAGCAGATGAAATGTGAAAATGTTGAACCCAACTGGGTTACATTTGTGGGTATTCTATATGCGTGTAGCCATGCAGGATTAGTTGAAGAAGGGCAAAAAACCTTTGCTTCAATGATGGATGAGTATGGCATCACACCAAAACTTGAACACTATGGTTGCATGGTGGACCTATATGGTCGTGCAAATTGTCTTAGAGATGCCCTAGTGTTGGTAGAGACTATGCCTATGGCACCAAATGTTATCATCTGGGGATCCTTGATGGCTGCTTGCCGGATACACAGTGAGTTGGAATTAGGAGAATTTGCTGCGAAACGTCTTCTTGAGTTAGATCCTGACCATGACGGGGCACTTGTCTTCTTATCAAACCTGTATGCTAGAGAAAGGAGATGGGAAAATGTTGGAGAGGTTAGAAAGTCTATGAAACACAAAGGGATATCAAAAGAACGAGGATGGAGTAAAATTGAAATGGATGACGGAGTTCATGAATTTTTGACCGCAGACACAACTCACAAACAAGCTGATGAAATTTATGCAAAGTTAAATGAGGTGGTTTATAAGTTGAAAGATGAGGGCTATGTCCCAGATACAAGCTGCGTTTTGGTTGATTTGGATGAAGATGAAAAGGAGGACTCGATTCTTTGGCATAGTGAGAAGTTAGCATTCTGTTATGCTCTAATAAGAGGGAAAAAAGGGTCCTGCATACGTATAATCAAGAACCTAAGGATCTGCGAAGACTGTCACAATTTTATGAAGCTGGCATCTAAGGCCTTCAATAGGAAAATTATTATAAGAGATAGGAGTAGATTTCACCACTGTAGAGATGGTTCATGTTCTTGTAAAGACTATTGGTGAAATTCAAGCAATTGTCAACAGATTTTTTGGCGATTCTGTGCTCTTAGCTCCTTGAAACGAATTTCTAAATGCGTTGCTTCAGTTTTATATAAAGTTTTGTGACAAAAACAAAACCACTGGAAATATTGAGCTGCTGCTCCTAAATACTGAAGAGGTCCCAATAAAAGACAGCAGAACGAACATTTAAAAACCAAGTATCAGAAGTTTCTCACCAGAAATGGTTACTGAATTCTCATCGAAATTTATAGAACGTTTTCCTATGTAGACTTTCTCATGTCAGGACTGGGGTTCTCCATCGTCAAACTGGCTTCCAAAAGCAGATTGTAGCCAGAATTTCTGCTTCATCTTCTCAAACTCTTGGTAGCCTAAATTTCAACAACTCTACAGCTGCTGGAAAAAGTCTTGGATTTTTTATTAGAAACCTCTGCCATAATCAAGGAATTTGTGTCAAGTTGCACTCCTGGCACCCTGTTTTCGTTGTATCCACCAAGTCACCAACCGTTGGGCTGCCGGATCAAGCAACTGGCTTCTATCATGGATTGTACAGCATACATCGCGAAGTCAGCAGCAGACCATCCTAAATTCATCCACAAATCATCTCTTTTGGCTTAAAACCAATTAATCTTCTTCTTCTTCTTCCTTTTTTTTTTTTTCAAATTAAAGAATTAGATGAATGTCCAATAAAATAAAAATATAAGAACAATATACACAGCTAACATGAATATATAGAGCACATCGATCAGAATTTTCACATGACTGATTTCCCGTACATATTCGTGAGAGCTGCAATTTGACACCTCTTTATTAACCAAATAATGTAGCCCTCAAGTCCTTCAAAACCAATGATTCCTCAACCAAGTTCTTGGAAAAATCTCGAGACAGTTTGTGTTTCAAAACCCCTGAAACCACCATCCAGGAAATCCTATATTCTGCAGCAAAAACCATGATCAACCTCAAAACTAACGTCACCATGACAACCCCATATTCGAGTTCTCTCTTTCTTCTCTCCTGCTTCTTCTTCCCATTAAAACGCAATCTTGGAATCGGGGAAACAGCAATAGGCCTTATGAGAGGAGCCCTCGCTTTAGGTGTCGAAATATCAGCCTATGATGTGTTGAAAGAAACAGGGCTTCTGCCTTCTTGGAATCATTGACTGTAAGTATTATGCCCTAGGTCCAATCAACTTTGGACATAAATACTTTTATATGTAATTAATACAATTAAATGGTAGATTTATTATTTAATTAATAGACAATTAAATAAATAATAGAGTCCGTAGATTCAAATATTTGTAATTTGTTAATCACAATGAGTTGTGATTGTGAGATACAAATTACATTTGATTGAATCTTAAATCATCCGTGGTCGTAAGTAATAACGAGATACGGATATCGTTATTACGGATAGACCATCACGTGTGGCATTTCTTACTTGTGAAGTAAGTAGCTGATCTCACAAGCTAAAGTATGGTGACACTTAAATAAACACGTGGATGTTTTTGTTATAGAACAAAACATTGGAGACCCGTCGAGAGATTCCACATGGATAACTATCTGAGTGTCAGTGAAATAGAATAATTATTAAACTACTCGTCTTTGAATAAATAGAGGATTCATCATCATCCAACACAAAGTAATCTAGCTTAACATATTTCTAAAGATAGAACAACAATAAGAACAGAAAAGTATCACTCGAAATTAATTAATAAACGAAACAGATGTCATGGTTTTATTCTTGTTCCAGATCTTCAACCCTGAGTTTTGATTTTTCAAGTTCTTGATTTTTTTTATTCAACATACGTGCTAGTTTTTTTTATCCTCTCCAATGATTATTAAATTGGTTTCGTTTCTAAATAAATTTTATGTTATCAATGAATTTGAGAAGTGAGAGATCCCTTCAATTGTAGCCCATGTTTTGTATTTACAAGAGCCAAATTTAGGTCAAAATATGCCTCAGAATTAGGTTCCAAAAGAGTTTAAGTTGAAAAAGGAAAACCGAATCCCTTATGTTAGTTTACACCATGCCCACACATGCGTCACTTTGGGTTTTCAGTCTAGGGATATGGATAAAAGCAGGCTCGAGTGAGCATGGTACAAATCTTCACGTGTGCGTTCGCACGTAATTTCATTTATGAGCAACCATCAGTATTTTTCTCATATCTTTTTCTTTCGATATTTGATTGAGGTGATTCAAAGTGATTTGGAAAGGAAACTCAAAGATCTATTAATCTTCTAATGTATTATGTTCTAATTCGAAAGTTTATTATGTAAGAAATGGGTCTTAATCTGGGACTGAAAATTCAAAGCCTAATTAGAGTGTGGTTGAAAATTGATTTATGAAAATACTTTGACTATATTCCTATCATTTGACTTCAAATTGTATCTAATTGGTCATATCTGATCTTCAATCATCATTTTTTGTCTGAATCAAGTACTAAATGTTTTAACTTTGGTCCTTGAACTTTGAATTTTTCAATTTCGCCTGTGTTTCGTTCCTTTTTTTTTCCCCCAATTCAATCAATTTGTATCAAATTTTACTCAATGAATAAAATTAACACGTAACTAAACTATAATTCAAATAAGTGTACAAAATACACAAATCGAATACCCCAAAACTTGAACATTTATTTTTCCTAAAAATAACTATAACTTACTTATCAAACAAGCATGCAATGCTAATTACCTAAGTGTACAAAATACATTTATTAAATACACCAAAACTTGAACATTTATTATACTGTGCATCTTGTATTTTATGTACTAATACTATGCCTTTTGAGTTTCTTTTTGGGATATTCAATAAGTGTCATCATTGGGATTTTTCATACGGTAGCTTCACATCATGAAAGCTTTTTCTCTTTTTTTTTTTTTTTTTATATGATGATTAGTTCAATATCCTTCATTAAACACTCTAGTTTTTACCTAATTCTCATCTTATTGTCATTAGACAATTCACAAAAATAAAAAATAAAAAAAATTATATACATGGAATCCTAATTCATCTCAATATTTCTGGCAACAATTCAATCACTCCAAAACTATCCTAAAATTGATTTAAGCATGTATATTGAATTATTTACTTTTTTATTTAGCATCTAAGGTCCACTATTTCAATCTATTCAAAATTTGAATCAACTTATTCCATTTTAATGTAAAACCATAAATTTCACATGAATAAGCAAAAATTAGTCTAAACATGCAACTTATTCATAATACAAAAAGTAAACATAATCTCAAATATATAAATCATTGTCCATAAGGTTAACTAACCTACGCAAGCAAGGAAATAAAAGAATAACATTTTGAATTTTTTATATATATAATAAATTAGTGAAATTTCATACAATCTCATAACAGAAATGAAAAATTCAATGTTTTTTTCCATCCCAAATTTAAATCAGACATTGCCATCAATGTCTCAAATTCTAATCAAGTAAAAGAAAAAAGAGCAAGCAGGGAATAAAAGACTCCTCTAATTTTTGTCTAATAGTGGAAACTAATTTGAAATGAAATTGTTGGATTTCGATATTCACTTGACTACTTTCTTTCCCTTGTCCATTGTTGGTATGCGTATTTTTAACTATCATGTACCTACAAATAAAGAAAAATCAATAATAATATGGCACGATTCATATTACACAAACACAACTTATAGAGCAATACGGGGATGAAGATACCCTAAACTACTAAAAAAAAAAAAAAAAATACTACCTAATATATTATCTGAAATGCATAATAAATAAAAGGGAAGAAAACTGAGTTGTCTCCAATAAGCATTGTTTTATTGTTATTAACTTGACTTTGGCAATCTACATCATGGAATTCTAATTAAAAAATAAAAAATAAAAAAAAATCCTTTTGATGTCTTGTTCGTTTTGCTTCTTTTGACTAGTTTTCGTTGATTATCCAAATCTTAGCGTTGCCTCTTTCAATCGGATATTACTTGCACATTTGATTCAAAATCTGTATAGACTTTTACCTCTTTGTGCTTAATCACGACTTCAATTATTGGGCAATCGATGAAGTCAAAAGAATGTGTGTTAATTTCATCTTCATTAATTGATGCTTCTTTGCCTGGTTCATTTTTAATTAATTTGTCATCATCTTTATGCTCCTTTTCAACGGTTGATATATTCTCAAGTTGAATGAAAGGTACAACGTCTAAATTCAAGGATATTAACAATTCTTCTCTTTCAACCTTTTCAAGTGGATTATATTCTCATCTTTTAAATGTGCTCCAAAATACGACATTTTCCATTCGCATTTTGCTTTCATCCAACTCAATAGGTAAATTATAATATTTTCTAAGTACCTCCCTATTCAAAAGGTAAAGACCTTCTCCCATAAGTATGTTGTCCTCATCCTCATCTGCAGATACATACAAGCCTGTAGGTATGTAACCTTAATCATATTTGTCAATTGCTTGTTTCCAACATTTTAAATATTGTTTAGACTTCAGAAGTTTGAACATAAGGGAGTAACTGCATATATAGGTCTCATGGATTTAATGATTCATCAATTAAATAATGTATTATGTCACTGTTGCTTAACATAAACTAAGTATGTGTGTATATATAAGCATTCCCCCATCATCGGTATCGAGATTAATTATTGCAAAAGTATTATTCTTTTTGCCAAATAGCAAAATCATGCAATATTGCTGAATAGTGCCTGGAAGAATACCAAACACAAGAGAGGCTGGAGTGGATAGCCAAAATTAACAAAATAAAAGTAAATAAAAATAAAAAATTCGAGTTCAATACAAATCAATAAATTTATTATAAAAACTCTAATTCCCGACAATTGCGAAAACCTGTTTAGACAATTTTCGCAAGCGTACGGATCATTAACAAGTAATAGATTTAATGAGTCAAGAGTATTGTCCTACAGCGAATGAATCTTAAATTGAATTATATCAACTTGTTATTAAATTCGAATGTAAATAACAAATCAAATGATTTTTTTTTATTTAAATTATTCTACTAGTTGTATAAGATGTTTTAAAACTAAATATGTAGCGATCGGGAAAAAAAT